CCACGTGGTCCTGCCGGGGATCTCAATTGCCGTCGACCTATTCGACTTTGACGGGGCACGTCGTCGTGAACGAAGGATTGTCAGGGAGCGAACCTCCACCGCCTCCGCCACAAAGTCCCGGTCCCCCTGGCCGAGCAGGTCGACATTTGTCCCCGCAAGGTTACTATTTCCATTTTTACACTCGTCGGTCTCGGATAACAGCGACGAAGTGCCTACCGGATCCAACGACGATGGGAGCCAAAATCTCCATTCATAAGTTCGAACAAGTCTGCATTTTTTCGCAGGGCTTGTATTCGATAATAACATATCACTCGAGGAATGAGATTCCTCGCACACCTGAGCTCGTTTTCGTTTACAGAGCGCTCGTCTCCCACGAGTAGGACATCGATTCCACAAAAGGTTCCTACTCCTCGTCGTCGCGTATCTATGGCTAGGATCGCCGAACGTCCGATCCCCAGTATTACCGCAACGATGCTCATGCTGGTTCTTCAAGCTCAGCAGCAGGATGGCAGAGAGGAGATTCAGCAGGCAGTCACCAAGCCTGCGCAGCCAATTGAGGAGAGAGGAGAGAGCACCTCTCATATTTTTTTTTCCACATTATCAACATCTCTCTTTTATGGAAATCTTTTTATGTTTTTTTCTTTAATATTTAACGAACGATTTCTCTATCGTTTTAAGTCGATATTTAAATTTTTTTGTACAGATAAATAAGATTAATTGTGCTCTTTAAAATGATATTCACTTTGATATATTATTAGAAAAAAAAGAGTCATTTCTAATTTTTTCCCTAATTAATTTCAATGAGTTATAATTTATACCTCTTTCATTTTAAACTGTAGTTAAAAAAAATTGTAGAGGTAAGTAAGATTAAGTGTTTTTCTCAAAATGACATCCAATTTCATATATTTTGGAACATAAAAATTGAGACATTTATTACCAGTTCATAACATGTGGTAATGCTTGGTTGTATATAAAAATATACCACGTGATATGAAAGTGTACTTAGTGGTATAAATACACCAGAGTGCAGAATGATTGCATACATGATAGTAGAAATATAATAACCATCATTTATCACTTTTCATCAACGTATACCACCAATTACAAGAGATCGCGCCGAACTTATTCCGTCTATGCAAAAAATTTAAAAATTTGAGTTAAAAACGAAGGTGGTACCAAGTGATACTATGGTGGAAATGGGTGGTATATGAAATTATTTTCTCAAAATAAATTAAAAATGAATATTATTTTATAAATCATAGCGAACCTGTTCCATGTATGCAAAAAATTATGAAATCCAAATTAAAACAAATGAGATAAAATTTGATTAGAAAAAATTCAAAAATTAAAAAGTTCAAAATCGTATTTTTTTAGATCCCACTTAAAATTGGAATCCATATCTGATTATGAATTTATGTATAACACTTGATTATGCATCAGCATAGCCCTTGCATCCTATCTGGACCCTTTTTACCCACCATAGAAAGGAAATCATTTTTTTTTTGGCGTGTCCTGACTTCTGATATGATCTAGAATTGAATATATACTGGAGCGCTTTTCTACTGATTTTTTGTGGGATTGAACTCGGCAAAATTTGCACTATTTCCTTAGGCATGTGCCTTTCAACTTCGGAACAAAGAATTGAGGAACACACGAAACTATTACTGATTTTACGCACAATTGAAACTCAGGTAACATCCAAATCGTAGATTAAAATCGTATGATCTTAAGGTTTATTGAAAAATTAATAATTAAAACACCGAATAATAATAACAGTGCATATTATGAATAACAATTAACCACTTATCACTTATTTACTTCTCAACATAAGTTTGTCTTCTAAATAAACGCTGAAAAGGAAGAAGCCATAGATCGAGTAGCCAATACCAATTGAAGCTATCTGCAATTTAGGGTTAACGACAAGACGTAGGAGATCAGGATCGACGATTAAAGAGAAGGTGAAGGAGTCACAGATACTCCGCTTCTGTCTTCACCTTATCTTTTAGAATATATGGGCTGAGATAAAAGAAAACCCAATGGAGAAGTTTCTAAAGCCCAAACGTAGTGAGCTTTAAAGCCTCGGCCTGGGTTCTTTCAAATTTGTTTTAATTTTCATTTAAATTCAAATAAATATAGCCGGTTAAAATTTAGATATTTATTACCAGTCCATACAAATTGATAATGCTTGGTTAGTTGGTTGTATATAAAAATATATAATGTGGTATGAACACACCAGAGTGTAGAATGGTTGTATCCATGATAATAGGAATATACTAACTATCATTTACCCCTTTTCATCAACGTCTACCACCAGTTATCGCGCTATACCAGGGTGGTAGTTTTACTCCTGAAAAAAAAAAACTTCTAGATCTAATACATCACGACGAACACGTTCCTTTTGTGCAAAGTTTTTTATAATTTGTATAAAAAATGAAGGTGGTATCAAGTCATAACATGGTGGAAATGAGTGTTATGCAATTCTTTTTCTCAAAATATATTAAAAATGAATATCATTTTATAAATTATAGCGATACTGTTCCATCTGTAAAACATTTATGAAATTCAAGGTAAAAAATAAGTTAAAAGTCTATTAAAAAATAAAATATATATATAATTCTCATTTTTTAAATCTAGTTCCACTTAAGATTAAGGGTTTATTTCCGATTATGAACTTATGAATAACTCTTGATTATGCATAGCCCTTCACCCTATGTGGACCCATTTTCTCCCACCATAGAAAGGAAAGCATTTTTTTTACGTGTCCGACTTTTAACATACATGAGCTAAAACAGGATATATACTGGAGTGCTTTGCTAACAATAAGCAAAGAATGAAAGGCAAAGTCATTCCTCCATTGATAAGCCAAGAATATTTCACAGAAAAGAGACGGAATACCAATATGTATTGCTTAAAGAAACGATCAATCCCAATTCTATACCAATGCCATGACTCAAAAGTCTATAAATACGTAACAACCCATGCATGCAACACCATAACCAAGCGACAAAACTAGCTACTCAAGCGAAACAAACCACACAAATGGCCGAGACTATATCAACTAATGAAACCGTGGTCGGGTTGCCAACGTTGGTCGCGTTCCGATCAGAGTCCAAAGCAACCTTCATGCATTATCTCGACCGCAATGAAGAATCGGAGCACTACTTTGAGTGCATGAGTTGCAAGAAGGAAGCCCTGGACGATCAGAGTCCACTCGTGAAGCTGAGGCTCGAGCCTGCAGCCCACGACGACAAATCACTGGTCCACATCCGTTGCTGTTCCAACGGCAAGTACTTACAGGGTGAATCAAGATACCGCACCCTCTGCATCGCCGCAACCGCCGAGCAACCGGCGGAGGACCCGGCGCAAGACACGTGTACGCTGTTCCAGCTCGAGGTCTTGCCGCCCAAGGATGGTCAGACTCAGATGGTGGTTCGGCTGTTGCACTTCCACAGCAAGAAATATCTTATCCCGCTCTCAAACGGTGTCGTGTCTGCGTACTCGACCAAATACGATGGTCAGCGTGGGCTTGATCATTTCCAAGTTTATCCTTTGGAGACTTCGTCCGAGGTGAAAGAGGAAGAGGAGGAGAAGGAGGCAGAAAAGGCGACCGGAGGAGATGAGGAGACGGTTAAGGAGGAGGATACCGGGAAGAGAGGAGATGATGATCGCGAGGTGGTGATTGAGAGGTTGAAGAGGGAAGTGGAGGCGAAGGATAGAGAGATAAGGGAAAGAGATGAAGCGATCCAGAGGAAAGACAAGGAGATCGGGGACATGAAGATGGAAGTGGAGAAGATGAAAGCTGTGGAGATGATGAATGAAGTGGAGGAGAAAGTCGTGGAGATGGAGAAGGTGGTGAAGGACGCGGAGATTTTGAAGCTGAAGAGCGAAGTGGAGGAGATGGGTAAGGTGGTGAAGGAAAAGGACGAAGAGATTGCGATGAAAGATAGGGAATTGGAAGCTAAAAGCGATGAGATCGATGAGTTGGAAGCTGTGTTGGAGGAATTGAGAGGAAAGGTGGAGAAGCTGAAGCATGCACTCACCATTCTTGTTCGTTCTGCTTATTGAAGATGATGATCACTTGTATGTTACGCTAGCTACAAGCATGCTTATGTGGTTTATATTTGCTTGCTGTTTAATTTGTTATATATTGTCACCCTTGTCTATGATTGTATATAAATGGAAACAATAAAGATGGGAGCGCAAGTGTGCTCTCACATGTATGGATTGAAATAATTTCAAGGAAAGTTGTTAATGTTTTACCATTCAATTAGTTTCGGCTCTCGAATGTCTCATTTCCTATTTTATGTTTCACGTGTCGCTAGAAATTTTAGGGATCAGGTGGAACATGAAATATATGTTTATAAGTCGATATGGTCCCTTCACTAGCAATATATATGCTGAAATCTTTTGTTTAGTATACCCTTTAATTTGTTTTGACTCTCAAATTTTCCTTTTAATATTGTATGTTTTAGATGCCGTTGGAATTTTAGTAGGAAGGGCTCAAATATGTAACCTATAGTTAGGGCTGACATTTCGGTTTGCGGTTAGCGAGTAACTGCCGGTTTTAACCGAAAACCGACCGGTTACCTTGACGGCCGGTGGTCGGATGGGAAAAGGAAGGGGTCGGTTGACCGAGTAACCGACGGTGATTAACCGCGGTTATCCGACTAACCGGGCCCAACTGAGACCCACTTAACCTTCCCTAAAATTCTGTCCAGATTCATCTCCATTCCCACATCTTAAATCAAAAAAATTTCTCAAATCCAGGAAGAAGAAGAAGAAGCAGTAGCCTCTCTCAACAGCTCCCTCACAATGTCAAGGTGGCCCTTCTCTGCCGCGGTGAAGAGAGCCGTCTCCCCCGAGCTCGTCTCCCCGGGCTCGACCGGCTAGATTCGACGGTAGGGCCACCACCGCCGCCGGAGCAGCCAGCGGCTCCGCCTTCTCCCCCATATCTCCCGTCACGAACCTCCAGCACCTTGACACCAGCTCGACGTAGGGGGTCAAAACGCCGCTGTAAAAGACGCCGATCTCGCAGTGGGAGAGCACGGAGCCGGTGCGGTAGTGGGAGGCGAGGGCGAGGCGCCAGTGCTTGTAGGGGGTGGCGTCGAGGAGGTCCGGGTGGCGGTGGAGGAGGTCGCAGAGGAGGAGGAGGAGGAGGGCGGTGTCGGCGTCGTGGTGGTGGAAGGCGGCGCGCGACGACAGCGGGGGAGAGGAGAAGTGGGAAGTGAGGTGGTGGAGGGAGGAGAGGAGGTGTTTGTCGACGAGGTACGTTTTTTTAGGGAGGAGAGGGAGTGGAGGTGGGAGAGGGTGAAGGAGAAGGCGGCGGGGGAGTTGAGGAGGGCGGAGAGGCAGCGGCGGCGGGTGCCGGCGAGGGAGAGGATGGAGGAGGTAAGGGCGGTGAGGTTGTGGGGAGGGAGGGTGGAGAGTGCTGCCATTATCACTCGGGTCTCTCTCGCTGAATGAAATTGTTCCATTGGTGGTGGTGGGAGGTTTGAATGGAGAAAGGAAGGAGAGAGAAGGATGGAGGAGATAAGGATCGGAATAAGTGGTGGAAGGATTTTTGGGTTTTTTTAATTATTTTTTTGGAGATAAGGGAGTGCGGCTAACCGAACCAAAACCGATACCTGACCGGTCAGTAGTCGGCTAACCACAGTGTCCCTCACATTCATTAATTCAACAACATAAACTCCACAAATCACAATAGATCCTCCAGATAGCAACAAATCAAAAACAAATCAACAACACATCATCTTCTATCATCTCTTATCACCAGCCTTAGAAGAACCAACATCTGCATAACCCTGTTCATTCAATTGGGGCAACAAGTCATGACCATAATCATCATATCCATCTTTCTCATACTCTTCCTCCGGTACTTCTTCTTCACCCTCCTGCTCATTCTCCACGGGAATGTTGAGGCTTGCATCTGCATTGCCATTATTCGTTGCACTTTCCATTCTAGTTTGGAAAGTGGCATTAACTTAGTAAGAAAAAAAGGAAAACAAAGTGTTAGTACATTCATGCATTGAATTAGGTGGAAAGAATGAAAATAAGAGAGTTTCAGAACTCACTACTTTCCAAAGTCAAATTCTCTTCATCATCTTCCTTATCGTCAATCTCCCTGGATCCGGGATACCTTATCCAATCCTCAGCACAAATCAATGCCTCCACCATTAGGTCGCTCAAAGAGTACCTGAATGGACTGAGATTCCGCCCACCACAGTTGAATGTTGCCTCTGAGGCAACAGAAGAGATGGGAACTAGGGATGGCAATGGGTCGGGTTGGGTCGGGTTTTGCCAAATTCAAACCTAAACCCATGGGTTTATCTGTGAAAAAAACTCGGGGTAAAACCCACTGGATTTGAAAAACTCAAACCCAACCCAACCCGCTGGGTATCCGCGGGTTCATGGGTACCCACGGGTTTTTGTTGTAAAAAAATCACAATAACAAGTTCCTATCGAAATTAACGTCAAATATCAATCTCTCAATACAAATTATCCATATATAAAACACCATTCTAGAAAATTCAAGCAAATCACAAATTAACTATACAAATTGTTCAACACCAATCTAGAAAACTCAAGAAAATTGAAGCAAATCACAAATTATCCATAAATAACATGATTAATTGAAAGCTTCTTCCTTTCAATAAAGTTTTTCAATCTCCACTCGATAACATCAAATTCATTCTACACAACTAGAAAGAAAAAATTAGTCATGTCTCCACAAACATAAATAAGATTAGTTGTTTAGAATATTAAATATGCCGAGAAAATTAATTATATGGGTGTGGGCGCCCATGGGCTGGGTTTACCTAAACCCAAACCCAACCCGATGAATAGTGATCGGGTTTAAACACAAACCCCGTCAACACGGATTTTACCCGCGTTGACCGGGTTGGGTCGAGTGGGTAACCGTGGGTTCGGGTTTTATTGTCATCCCTAATGGGAACAGTTAGGACATCCTTAGCCATCTCAGCAAGAATCGGATATATTCCAGAGTGTCGAGACCACCAATCCAATCGGATGGATGTGCTTTGATTTTAGTATGACAATGCCTGCACTCTCCCATCGGATACGCATCCACCGCCACCTTCGTAAAATCCTTCCAGCAATCAGCTGTACCCTTTGTCTCCAACCATTTCTCTAGATTGAAGGGATCGTCTTTAACTTTATTTGAAGCCGGATTAACCTTTTCTACTGAAGGAGTCTCAGCAGCAGGTGTACTTCCACTACCGGCATGGGCGGGAGTCGATGCAATTGATGTCGACGCCGACGGTTCAACAGACTGAACAGGCCGACTCCCTGTACGTCCACCACGACCCCGATTCTGAGCAGGAAGGGCTGAGGCACCCGCACCACCACGACCTCGAGGAGGCGGAGGTCTCCCACCACGAGAAGCAGTCTCAGCGGAAGGTGTACCTCGTCCACCACGTGGAGCCGGAGGTCTAGCCCTACATCAACAGTTACACAAATTAAAAATTGAAAAACAAAATTCACAAATTCTAACAAGTAACAACTAACAAGCATCATCAAAATCATCAATCATCATCATTCATCAATCAAATTCATCATTCATCATCACTAAACCTATATAACTTATAAGCAGAATGACATCACATTTCCACGTGAATGGCATTCACCAAAATCATCATCATTCATTCAAAATCATCATTCACCAAAATCATTATTCTTCATTCATAAATTAATCATCATTCACTCTAAATCATCATTCTAAATTTCTAATAAACTTACATAATATTAATCATCATCATTCATTCAAAATCATCATCATTCACCAAAATCATCATTCTTCATTCATAAATCAATCATCATTCACTCTAAATCATCATTCTAAATTACTAATAAACTTACATAATATTAATCATCATCATTCATTCAAAATCATCATCATTCACCAAAATCATCATTCTTGATTCATAAAATCATCATTCACTCTAAATCATCATTCTAAATTTGTAATCAACTTAGATATTATTATTCAAGTCAACCCCTTTGTTTTTGTTGTTTGTTTGTGTGTAGCCTGGCGTCGAGCTTCTGCCGAAGAAGAAGTTCTCTTTCAGGAACAAATTGGCCACCAAATCAGCAGCTTGGCGCCAAGCTTCTCCCGAGCTCCCCAAAGCAACAACCGCCGGTCCTCGTGATACGAGAGTTTCCGGGCGGCACTGCGGGTGTCGGCGGGCGGCACGGTGGGTGGAGGGGCAGCACGATTGGAGGGAGGCGGCGACGACGATTGGAGAGGACGGAGTTGCGGGGAGACGGTAAGGGAGGAGCTCAGGGGAGGGAGCAGGAGGAGAATGTTGTCCGGGTGGATGTGGGTTGTGGCTGCCGATTGGCTCGGCCGAGATGATAGGGTGGAGGCGAGGCTGTTAGGGCGGAGGAACGCGGGGGAGTCATCGTCAACTGGTTGGCCGAGATAGGAGTGTGGAGGCGGTGGGGCGCAGGGGAGTCGTCGCCGCTGCTGAGAAGAAGACTGGGTGATGTGGGAGTGGGGCGGCTGGGCGATGGATTAGCCGATGTGTGTGTGAGGGAGGAACAAAGGCCAGGCTGCTAGGGTTGGGGTGTTTTAGGGATGGCAAAACGACGTCGTTTCAGGTCTGTCGGTTAGCATCGTTTAACCGGCGTCAATTTATCGACTAACCGCCTAACCACTAACCACCTCCAACAACCGACCGCCACTTGTTTTTTGGTTTTTGGTTAGCTGCTAACCGACAGTTAACGGTTAGACCGGCCGGTTAGCCGCTAACCGGCAACCGAAATGATAGCCCTAGTGCAAACCAACTCGATCGACTAGGCCCTGTAAGCATAAATCATAATAGCATGGATCTTAGAATTAGATGATTTCATGAATCGGTAATAGATCAAGGAAACCTACCTCGATCCATGACGAGAGCGGCGGTGGCGGCTTGAGTAGTAATCACTGGAATTGAGTTTCTCCCTCTTGACCCCTTTAGGTTTTAGGTTTAGAGATTTCTATGACGGCTAAGAAATTCTCCGTAATGGGTGGAGAGAGTACCAATCCTAGGGTTTCTTTATATAGACCCACCATCAGGGTATATTAGGAAATTACCTTTTTCATTAACCTAACAAATATATGACTTACCTTATATATATTAAACCATTAAGTGATAATTACACTTGGGCCACAATTATTCCCTAGTGATCCATACGGGAATTGGGCTTACATTCTCCCACTTGGCCCATGTGTCATTATATATCACAAGATCTAATAATAAACATAAGTGTGCACATCATAAGATAAATCCATAATATTTGGTTCACCATAAAGTCATAATCAAGTATGAAAGCTAGATTAGGATCATGGCGGTTCTATATCAATTTATCGACATAGTCCCTTCCATGTACCACAAAACCCGTTTCATGCTCAATTTGACACATAACAAGGTATTCATAATGGTCCAACAATAATGTCTTTCCTAAAGACAAAAATCTTGTTCTGTCCACATAATTCATAATGTATATATACTGATCATAATAAACAAGACAAGATTCATAACTTTATTCCAGAAACAAAATAAATGAGCTCAAAGTGTCAATCCATGAAACATAAAATAACTTTAGTCATGACGTCCTATAATCCCCATCCTTTCGACATGTTCAGTAAATGTCTTAGGAGGCAATCCTTTTGTTAATGGATCAGCAATCATAAGCTGTGTGCTAATATGCTCGATCGACACCCTTTGTTTCTGAACTTCTTCCTTAACGACAAAGTATTTCACCTCCATATGCTTAGCACCCTTCGAATACTTGTCAGCGGCTTGGCGATAGTGTCGACAATTCCAAGTCCAGAAATAAAATTCCGCAGCCATAAACCATGATTTGTAGCTTCATAACAAGCTATGAATTCAGCTTCCATAGTGGATGTGGCAATAACAGACTGCTTTGCACTCTTCCATGAAATTGCCCCTCCGGCTAGAAGGAACAAATAGCCAAAAGTAGACTTCCTGGTGTCTACACATCCAGCATAATCTGAATCTGAATTTCCAATCACCTCAAGGTGACCAGATCTCCTAAAGGTGAGCATGTGGTCTTTTGTTCCTTGCAGATACCTTAGTACCTTCTTTGCAGCTTTCCAATGATCTACTCCTGGATTACTTTGATACCCGCCCAGCATTTCGACGGCAAAATTGATGTCTGGTCTGGTATAAGTTTGTGCATAATTCAAACTTCCAACAATAGATTCATAAGGAATGTGTTCCATTTGCTTGCGTTCCAATTCATTCGTTGGACATTGTTTGAGACTAAATTTATCTCCCTTCTGATTTGGAACGACATTTGCAGAGCATTCAGCCATGTTGTATCTCTCTAGGATCCGGTTAATGTATGATTTCTGAGACAATCCCAACAGTCTTTGTGATCTATCACGAAATATTTCTATTCCAATCACATAGGA